TTGTCCAGCTTTTCATCCACCAGCAYCCACAAGTCCTCCTTGGCCAGGCAGTTCTCAATCCCTTCATCCCCTAGCCTGTGCTGATACTGGGGTTGCCCTGACCAGGCACAGAACACTGCACTTGGCCTCGTCAAACCTCCTGAGGTTCATWTGGACCCACTTCTCTTGTCCTAGATGGGGACAGTGACTGCATATACAAATCTGTAAAAGAGAAGCTCTAGCCCAAAGGTACTTCAAAGAAATTTTAACTTCAGTCAAGGAGAGAAATGTCTTTCTGTATTTCCTCCAAGAACATCAAAATATCAGCACAACAGATATGCCCCAGCTGTGGAGATTCACAGCATCATAAAGGTACTGAGATGATAAAACTGTAAGAAGTGCCCTGTATACACACACTATTTACACTACACATCTTCACCCCCAGCTGCTTTTCCTGGCTGCTGTTCATCAGCACTGGAAGCTAATTAGTTTAARGCCATGGAAAACTCCTATTATAAGCTAAAAGGGAGAGAGAAAGCATCCCTTCCCATCAAATGAAAACAAGGGAATGTAAGTTGGGAAGGAAAGAGAGGGAAGGATGAAATTAAGGGTTTCTAGAGCTAATCCTTCCTCAAAGTGACACTGCTTATTCCTCTCTCAATGCCCTTCCTTCTTGGAGGATGAGCAGGAGGTAAGGGCATGGGAAGGTGGCCATGGTGTTGAGTCCCATCTACTGTGGGCTAACACCCTCCTTGGCCAGAGAAYTGGCAATGAGGCAGGGATCTTGGCATGGAAAAGAAAAGTTGGAGGGAAGGCAATGAACTGTCGTGGTGATTTCTATCCGTAGGCCTGGGATTTTCTTTACCTGAAAGGTCTCAGCTGAAGGGCTATTCTACCCCCAAACTCAAACCCTCATCAAGTTTATTGCTTGTTTGCTTACTTTTCAACAGGGTAAAGATACAACCCTGAGACTAAGCTGTGGTAGYTTAACATTTTTTCAAATGTTGCTCCATGGGGTCTCTCTTGTTTTACAACGATGCAATGGGAACAAACTCCAGTGTCTTGAAAAGAATTTTAGTTTCAAGGTTATACTTCTAGTTTTCACTGGGCTGGTAAAGTTTCCATTTACCCTTCCCAGGGCTGATCCCCAGCAACATGCACCCTGCTTCCCCATGCCACTCCAGTCTGACAAAGAAGTCTCCTGCCCTGGGAGAACTGTGGAAAGTTTGACCTCCATGTTCATACAARCTCTGCCCTCCCTCAGACTGTCAACAAGGGCTTCAGCCAACTGTGCCTACTATTTATTTCGATAGTGACTGTTCATTATGAACAGAACTACATTTCTAAACTTGGTTTACAAAGACTAAGAAATGACTGAGCACAGCACAGCCTCTCATAGGACTCTCATTAGCAGAAGTCAAAGGGRTGATGCTGCTGCACAGCATTAGAGRARTGCAGGCACATGGTCATGRGGGAAATGGWTTTCCTGAAGTTGTACTGTAGARCAGTAGCAGAACTGAATGTAGAAGCCAGTTYTAAAGACCAGCAGTCCAAACTTGCAGTAATCTCAGGCCAAAATCTCAGCCTATCCCACTGAGATGTAGTGCTCCAGTGGGAGCTCTGCACACACACAGGCCACCCAAACTGCTCTGAAATGSTACACCAGAAACCCATCTTCTTGTGAATTAAATATAACCAGGGGAGCCCAAAGTGTAGACTGGAAACCAAAGTCTGGTGTGCCAGCCACACTCAGAAACATTCCCAATGTGGTAATACAGGTCGCAGGTTTAGCCACCAAAAGGACAAAGGGCATTCCCAGACAATCCTGTTGTCCATCAGGGACATCACTAACAGTTGCAACTAAAACAGGAGGGCAGCTTTGGAGGCTGTGTTGGGAGKGCACTGAGCTCTCAGCTCCAGCTGGCTGCAAAAATGCAAAGGGATGCACAGCACTTCACAAATGGTAAAAATATCTAGATGTAAGTTGTAAGGAATAAAATGCATATTAAGGTAAAWAAGTGATGAATAAGTCAATGTCTAAAATTAATGGCTTGAAATCTTTACAAAGGTGGATTCCCTTGAAGAATTCTCACCATACTACCTTAGTAGTATGGTGAGAGGCCCATGAGGCTCTGAAACTTGCGTTTATGTTGACTTGTGTGCTCTGTTATTTGCAATTTCTAGAACCTGCCCTCCTCTACAGATGCTGAGACTCTGCCATGACTTAAGAATAAAGATGGTTACTTGTTCATTTAGAGGTCAATCAACTCCACCAGTGGATGATGCCTCTTCCAATAACTGTTTTCAGTGGGTACCACTCTTCCTGTACAGAGACAGAAGAGGAAACGAGACCTCCATTGCCTCTGGATGTTCTCTGGGGCACATGACATACAGCCCTGWGTATAAAATGTCAAAACATCCCTGTCGGAGATTCACTGCCTGCTAAAACTGTGAAGATCTCACAGCACCGTGGATTGCTGTTGACAGAACAGCAGCGCCCAACATAACACATGCCTTGTTAGCAAACTGGAAGCCTCTCAGTAGTCTGGGGTGAGGGAATAATAGAGGAAGCCAAAGCAACACAAGCCAGGCCTGTGGAGAACAGCAAGTGAACGAACCTTGGCGGAGAGTCCAAGCCAAGTCTCAGACTAGTTCTTTTCTCCCCGCTTTCAAAACCTCTCTTCTGCAAACATGGGCAGTTTTCAATCAGYGCTTCCCACCATGTAACTTAGCTGCTGAAATCAGCAGCATTTKCACCAGAAATGCCCACAACTGGCACAGCTGGCTGTGCAAAGCACAGGGAACACCCAACTGCCCGTTTCCAGATGAGCTAGACCTAAGGCACCACGCTGACCGTGACACCGTGGCTGTCACCTACACAGGCAGCTGTGTCCTTGCTTTTGGCACTCGGGGCCACAGAGCTCCCCAGCAGCAGCAGCACCCCACAGTGACAAAGTGACACTGCTCAAAGTGACACACCGAGCCAGGCCAGGGCAGGCACACAGGTGGGCTTTGGGGCAGGGGGAGCCTCTTGGCTGTGCCTGGGCTGGCCCTGCCTTCCAGTGCCCCCATAAAGCACTTTCATGCTCCAGCAGAGCGCTATGACATCTCAGCATGGTGAATGCTGGGCCATCCCAGGGAGCCAGCACTGCTTTGGCAAGGCTGCAAAACAAAAGAAACATCAGCCTCAGAAACACTTCTTTATTCACTGCTGCTGAAGAAACAAAACCTTTATGTGCAGTAACTCTGCTTTAAACAGTAACATTTGTGGATCCTGTTCTTAACCTTTTGCATCTGGCATTCAAAATCTGCCCTGCTTTTTTTTTTTCCACGTGAAAGACTACAGATCTTATTTTTGTTTTGGCACCGGGGTGCAATGCTGCCGGAGAAGTGCACTCAAGCTGGCACAGACCAAAGCTGGTGAGCCACCCAAATTATTGTTGGGTGGTTCAGTCCCTCTCTATTTCAAGAAGCCTCTGGGTATAATGACAGGAAGCTTGCAGGCAATTTTAAGCTAAACCTCAGAAAGGCTGGCATTCGGTCTGTGYTAAACACTCCTTATTAAAAGCTGTCCAGTCCGGATCCTGGGTGGAACTCCGATATCTGCGTGGAGTAAAGAATAAGGGGCACGTTTGCAAAATCAATTGTGCAGTTTTTATATTTACTGCACGTTTACCACATATGTCATTTATTACACAGTGGAAAACCGTTAAATGCACAGTAGTTGTGCCAAGTGGCATTATGCTTTTAACAGCTTTATTCGTTTAACAGCTCCAGTTCTCATTATATTTTGCCATGTGGTACATGAGATTTTTATGCATTTAACAGTTTAAGAGGGTTCCATGGTATTTTCCTTTTATGTATTTCATACTGAGCCTGGGATTTGGTTTGGGGGGTAGAGGGACTGTAACCCCTGYACCCTGACAAGAGAAAGCAAAAGACAAAGAAAATGAATGATTACATGAAGARGAAAAAATTAATCAGATCTCCATGTGTCAGGGCACAAATACCTGTGACAAGGACAAGGCTTTCCCGTGTGCTTTGATAGCTTTTGATGTTTTTATTTATATGCCTTTCAACCACTTATTTTACATCTACTTTAATGACTATAATATTGTTTCCCTGCATTTTTCAGAGTGGATTGCACCTAGATACTTTTATCCCACTCTYTCATTGTCACATGCACATTTGTGCATTTTTGTGTGCATACTGATGCCCTCTCCTAGCACAAATGAATAATTTCATCCAGGATCAGAAGCAGCTCTTTTCACTGGGTAAACAATTCCTTCCAACAATCTCCAATCCACTTGCTTTTTGCCCTTCAAAAAAAATCTGTCTGTCCTCCTTTCCACAAAATCCCTTCTGGTGCATTATATTTTTTTAAAGAGTTGGATGAAATTTTTAAATTAATGGATTCTCTTCAGGAATTTCACCCCRACCTAGGTTTGCCCACATGTATTTTTTACACCCAAGGTAGAAACGAATCCAGGAGAATTCACTGCAGTGCCTTCTCATGCCTTTTTGTAAAAATTATTGGATCCGAYGTGAATTATTCACATGGCAATACCATATGCAGCACATACAACATGCTAAAAAGGAAACACCTGCCTAATACACCCATTTCCCATTGCCTTACCTCAGTAACCACTTGAGAAAGCAATTTCATTACCTGCTGAACGAGTAGGATACCWCCATTTTGAAAGTTCCTTGTCCTACTAGCAGAGATGTAAGTTATATAYCACACGTGGGAAAAGACATATATGTTTGTACAAAAGGGGAGAAAAAGCTTGGCTTCGAGCTGACCCTTTCCTCAGCCTCTTTTAAAAGGGAAAAGGAAACCACTTAAGCAGGCAAAAGCCGAACATGACAGGTTCCCCAGAGACGAAAATTGTTATTATTGTAGGAACAGATGTAATTTTATTGGTGGGAGGAAGAGATGGATCTAGTCCCAGCCCCAGAATYTGCTTTAAAAACAAAACCCCAGAAAGCCCCACAACAATGAAATCCTCTATACCACTCACCTGACTTTTATTGGCAGCCACTTTGGCAAACAGAGCTTGAGATACCTTGGCCCTTTTCATCTCCTGTTGGATCTCATCATAAATGGCAGCTGTGATGTTGACGTTGGCGCTGTCCGCCTTAATGGGGAGGTCTGTTGTTGGTGTCGAGGTTTTGGCCTACCAAGAGACCATGAAAATAATAATTAAAAAAGTGCTGCTTTCAGCCCAGCCATCTGTGCAGAAATTATCAAAGGATTTCAGTCAGCTGATGCCAAACTGCATTAGCTACAGAGGGACACTTCCTGTCCATTATTCTAATCAGGTTAATTGTGATTGGAAATAATTGCAGTGCATTCCTATAGGACATGCAAGGCCCTGTCAACTCTCCCCCTCTCCCTCTCCCAGCGTGTTTACTGAGCAGCTCAACAACAGCAAAGGTAGCTGGGCTGCAGGCAGTGCAGACATTGGCTTTGCCAGTCAGCTACAGCACAGCCACCAGSCTCTACCTTCTCCCCCCTCTCTAAGAGTGGCCTACACCTTGGAGGAAGAGCCAATTCTCCCAGAAAAAATGAGTAAATGGGTAGAGGTCTCTAAATAATAAATTATTACTCAATTTAATGCACTCCCTCAAGGCTCCCTCATGCTTTATTAAAACTATACGTATGTCACTTGAGTATGTATGGTTTCCCAGCCTTATCTTCATTATGCTAGCCAGACAGTCACCTAATTTCACCTAGGAAATCAGTGGAAATGAAAAAAAAAAAAACATTTCATAAAGCTGGGCTTTGGCATGCCTTTGATGTGTTGCCCTCATTCTCCTAAACTCATATTGAGATTTTGTGTATTCCACTGCACTCCTTTTAATTGAATGATTTCCCATCAGCTTCTGTGACAAATGAAGGACAATCACGGATGCTGCCAGTACTTTCCCTGGGCTGGACTAGCCCTRCAAGGCTGCTATCAATTCAGTTCASAAGGCTGTGAGAGGATGATTGTAAAGGCTCTTGGACTGGTGCTGCCCAGARTGCAGTGGCAGGTGAGGGGGTGAGGGTGGTGTGATGCTCACTGAGTGCTCCCAGCACCAGCTGCCCCTTGGAGACAACATCTCATTTACCTACCAGGGCTGATCACTGCACCCCTTACACCTTTTAAGGGAAACATGTGGGTTACTGATACAAAATCTCAGGTTTCTCTTGAGATGTAAAGGTCTTAGGAAAGAGCRCAACCTAAATGGCAAAGCTCACACTTCCCAAGAGATCTAAACCACCCATACAGCCCAGGGAAGCTAATATTTGGCCCAATTAGGAAMCTTTTCAGAAGGATACCGGTTTTGTGTCAGAGTTGAAGTTTGCTAGAGTACATAGTTTATTTACGTTAATGTTAATTTTTAACTAGGCAGCCATGCCCAAGTGTTTATTTGTTAATGGGAAGGTTAACCAGGCAAAACCAAACCCTCAGAACTTCTTTTTCTGTTTTGTTGTCCTCCAAACCTTCCCCTTCCTGACATCTCTTTTGTACCAAGGCCACATTAATAATGGAGCCAAAATCCAATCAAGACAACATTCTAGACTAAACACTCTTTCTCACTAGTTCCAGATAAAGCTTTAACCAACACGTATCTTCTCCCTTTCCTACTCTCCAGGCTCAGCAGGYGCTGCTCTGGGCTTGTTCCCTGCCTGTCCTGGGCACGACACACAGAAAAGGGGTAAGATTTTCCTAAGGCCAGCTCTGTGTGCAGGCAGGCACAGCTGGACAGCAGCTGGGGCAGAGCACAGCCACCACACTCCAGAAAGCCAGAGCTAAACCATCACAGGCCATCAACTGGGTACAGCCCGACACAGGGACCAACAGGGACACCCCGCTCTGAAATTCAGTGTTTACAGAGAGATGAGAGTGCAGGGATTGTGGGAAATGTAAGAAAACAACAAAGAGCTCATGGAAAGGAAAAGGACTGTCCAAGTCTGTCAGGACTGATTTAATGGAGATTTGTCGGGTATAAAAAAGGCTTCCCAGGCACTGGAGCCTTTGGCAAGCACAGCAGCCGAGGTCACTACAGCCTCAAAGGCTATTATGGATGTCTGAGATCTTGAGAATAATAAAATTAGCATGTAAAAGATTTAAAATATAACTCCATCCTGCATGGRTCTCCTACACTTCTAGGTCAACAGGCACATATCAGAAAAAGGCCTGCCCTACACACCCTGAAAGCTGCACCATCTTTTATTTAATCACCAAAATGGGAAGGGCAAATCCCAACCCAAAGTATCACAGTCACTAAAATGAAGTATTTTATGTTAAAGGCCTAGATTCAAAGCAGGTCTTGATACTAAGAAGGAGTTCACCACTATTGAAACATCTTGGGGCAAACAGTGGGGAAAAAAAGTGTTTGCAACCAGAGTGCCAGAGCACTGCAGCCCAAGCTTTAGTGCTGGGGCTCTGTTTGCATGCAACAACCRCCAACAGCTCAAAGCCCCTTCCCCACAGCAACCCAATTTTCTGGATCAATCTGCCATTCTCACTTTGAGACAGGTCCTGAGCCAGGGACATCACAAAAGGGTGGCTTGGGGCTGGCTCACTCAGGGAGAGCTGAGCTGGGTTACTCTGCATGCCCTCACACTGCCTGCACGGGCATTTCCACAGGTATCTGCCATTCCCCTCCTACCCAGAACGCTCCATCCCAAAAGCACTGCTGCAGGATATCRGTATCTATGGAAACCATGTTCCAATTCCCTCATGAACACAGTTCCTGCAAGGCTGGGGCACTCTTGCCACTGCTGCCCCAAAGCAGGGGCTGCAGGGGAGGGAAGGAGCTGCCTGGGGGCTGATGCTGCCTGGAGGATGGCATTTGTCTCGTCACAGCTAATCCCAGGCATATGGAAGCACAGTAGCCGTGCTGCATGCCCGGGAGCTGGGAAGAGCCTCATTTGCAGAGGTGTCCAAGTTGTCAAAACAGCACCTGTGCTGAGTGGTGCTGGCCCTCTGAGGGCTGGGGAAATGTTATCCGGCGGGCACCAGGCAAGCACCGGGTACACAAACCTTTGTGTGCTGCTTTCGCTGAGCAAAAATCTCACAATATTCTACTGCATTCCTCAAGGCAAGAACAGGCTGGTTTATACTTCTAGAGCATGGTTTTCTAGCAACGTTTAGCCCTTACAAAAGCAGGCAAAATGTCTATTATTTTAAATTGTGTTCTAGCTGTGGCTAGAGCATGGGAAAATGGCATATGTCAACACAGGAATGAGATGGGGCAAGAGATCCAATTTTTATTCTCACTGGATTGCATCTAAACTCTCGATTTCCTTTCAGTGCTTGACTCTAGTACAAAACCTATTGCAATAAATATAAACAGGGGTAAGCTAATTCTGCAATCAATCTATAGCACTGCAGAAAGTGGGTACACTAAATAGTAAAATAGTTCCCCCACAGTCTTTTATTTTTACTTATCAGTAAAAAGATGAGGAACATCCAATGAGTTTCCCATGTAATGAAAATTCAGTGTCAAATTTCGGTTGGCAGGATACGCCTGCTTTCAGTGAAAACAGTTCTTTACATCATTTATTGTGGTGAAGTGCATCTACATGTCTGGGTTAAACTGAATAACCTCAACAGTTTCTACAAAATCAATCATCCTTCCTAAGGAYGGTCAGTTTGCATGTACAACTTCTCTCCCCCTAGCAGTTATTTCCTTGCTTACTTACTTTCAGCACCTGTGGCTACAGAATTCAATGAGAAGTGCTCAGTGGTCTATTATAACAGTTACACAGGCCCATTTCCTAAAGATCAGAAAAGTGCTAGAACTGACCTATCGTGTCTGTGTCGTTAGAAAGTTCAGACTCAAGTCAGGCAAATGTCATGACAGGAGCTCATCATCAGCCCTGTGCAAAACCCTAATTTTCCAGAGTAAACATCTGCATCAGCCTGCTACAAGGGGGGATGACTATCACAGTGCAATATGTGGATGCTCTTTCTTGAAGCAAAGGAACAGCGTACCCAGGGAAGAGTGGGTGGTGACAGCACATTAATAAACACATGCAGTTAAGGTGATGAGATAACAGCTTCTTGGGAGCTCTAAAGCATCATCTTCCTTCCCAGCACCCTGTCCATCCCCACTTTCTGTACCTGAGAAATGGACATTTTTACATTTACTCGTAAAAACCTCTAACTCAAGGACTGTGATTTCCTATGCAGGATACAGAGCCCAGCGTTTTCTAACAATATCTATCTAATGCTCTATGCACCTCTGCTCACCAGACACTTTTTATTGCAACATGTATGAACCAGAAGCCCAAAAATTTCCTCAGTGTTCCACCGAAGGTAATGGACACAGGCAAAAAGCTACATGCACTGTCTTTCTATAATACATTCTATAATGGCCATTTAATGGACATATATCAACAGCAATGCCCACATGTACTCTTTCAAGCACCGATGTTACATACTCTTTTACATTTGTGGCATTGATTAAACTAGAATAATCACCACCATGTCTTGCTGAAATCCACTAAGTCTCTTAACAGCCACTCCAAAACCTTACAAAAGATTTTCTACAACTCYTCTGGGCAAGGAGAGAAACAGACAGGGGAAGGGTGGGAACAAACTCCTTCCTTGGAATAATCCACATAACAAACAGGTAACAAGGGGTTGCATCTTACCTGGGGTGTTCTGGAGGAGCTTGGGCTGCTGGCAGCTGAAGACACCATGCTCACGTTTGGGTTCATACTTCTCTCTCTCTCATCCTGATAAATACGATCCCGCTCTGAGTCAGGCAAGTTGAGGAAATTCTGCATTGCCCTTAAGTTTACCAGGAGGGACTGGGAAGCTGTCCTAGGGTCTTCTTCTTTACGCAGGATCTCTGACAACAAACCCTGGTTTGAAAAAAAAAAAAAAAAAAAAAAAAAAAAAAAAAGCTGGTCATGTTTAGTGTAACCAGCTGGGTTGCAATACTGAGAATCTACATCAGAATCTCATGGGCTCTCCCTGAGGGGATATTTTGTAGGAAAAGTGTTTGTCTTCTGGGGGCTGGGGTTTATTTTGGGACTGTCCTATTCTGGCACAGTAATAAGCTTCTGAGTACAGAGATGCTGGATAGGAAGGTAGGTGCACTGGGTAGAAGAAATTACAGTTATCACCAGGTGCTTGCTGCAAATATTTTAGGAGCTGTTAGATCTCTCTCTCTCTCTCTCTTTTTACTTGAAGCTGGGAACACTTGGCAATCCTGTTCGTCTTTGACAAATCTGCCAAGGTTGGTAAATTTAGTTTCGACATTTAAACAGTGCAGGAGGTTTATAAAGAAAAACGTTTGGCTGGGTTTTGATGTTACAGTCCGTTCATTTCAGTTTGGACAGTCATTTCTGAAAGGAGAAAAATGAAGCAATAATAAAACCTTAGAATCTAGCTTTAGGGATTTAACCCATTCTTTCATGCCTCAGTTTACAATACCACAGGCTTCACATTGCAACCATGAATGAACACCATATTAATGTAGTTTTTACAAAAGCCATTACACAGCTGTTCCTTCACAGACAGGACCCAGGCAAGCTGCCTCCCTCCTTACTCCTTTCTYATCAGAAAAATGTTACTAGAAAGCAGCCAGATACTCCAAACCCTGGAATATTCAGTTCTCATTTATTTCGTTCCGTATCTCCTTCAAAAAGCCTTGCTAAAAGCACTGTCACTACAGTTGGCCAATTAACCAAATGCCAACATTTTTAGTATATATTGATCTTATTTACCAGGCTTCCTGACAAAGCCAACTGACCAGCAAATTACGTACCTGTATCTGCATTTATCTGCTATTAAACACCTACACTAAAACAAACATGTGAAAACTCTACTTCAGCAGTGTTTAATAGGACAAATGCTCAAAATCAAGCTCCCCACACAACCTGAAGGTAGGCTCTATCCTTTCAGCTCCTCATCAACAAAACCAAGCTAAGACACTCCCAATTACATTTTTCTGCAATTATCAGTGAGGGCACCTGAAGGATGGGAGGTGGGAATGGAACCATGGTGAGCTCTGCTCAGAAATGGGATGGGAGAGAGAAGCTGGCTGGTGGAAAGGGGCTGCACTGGGGAAAAGTCTGAAGAAGTTGCAGTGGTTGGGTTGTCCTCTGCTATTGCAGTGGTTGGGTTGTCCTCTGCTATTTTGTGTGACCAACACAACTGCATGCACATATTTGGCCTCTTGCTCAGGATTTATCACCCCTCAGAGAAGCTAAGGGCATTCTGAAGAGCTTTCTAGAGTYTGACAGGCTCATAGGCTGGGGGAGATTAACCAAACAAGGACAYAGAGGAGCTTGAAGCCACAACCTGTGTGATTCCAAGACCGATGMAAGTCCTTATTAAAATTTTCCCTGAAAGTCAGTGAAAAATTCTGCAAATGAAATAAATAAAYAAAATATTGGTTCCACCAATTCCCTAAATTCCTAATTCCCTGTGTCTTTGAAAGGATATACATAAAAAAATGTATTTTAAAAAGAAATGCTCAACTTCAAAAATTGARTTTAGTATGAAAGAAATGGACCTGAAAGCTCGTGAAGCTGACTCTTAAGACAGTTTTTTCTCCCTCCCATCTTAGCCTCGCTAAATTTATAGTGCAATTTCAAAAATGGAGAGCAGAAACATATGCAAAAGCATGCCAGCAATTACTTTTCCATGCAGTCATTGACTCTGTATGTAAATCAGAGGCTCACACACACGAGTGGCTTGGTCATGGCACTGAGAGCTATCTCCCTGCCTGAGACACCAACCCTTGTGCTTGAAGGCTCTGCTKTGTCACCAGAAACTCCTTCTCATGSAGCAGATTTGGTGSCTGCACTTTTGCTTCCAGAAGGGTGTTATCCTGACCTGCCAGAGGGATGGAGCAATATTTTGCAGCACTATCATCAGGAGCATCGTGTCCTAAGGGAGGGATGGCTGCACCTGCCCCGCTCCAGGGGTTATTCTGCAGGTAGGAAACCTGGCTGCCAAGAGGGTTTTTCTGCAGCTCCTCTAAGTGCTTTGGCAGCTTAGGAACCATGYAAACAGCAGGAGAGCTAATAAGAAAACTGACTCATGAGGGAAAAATCTCGTGTCCTCCTGCAGCTGAAGATAAACAACAACGGTGGTAAACAGCAGCAGCAGATAGCTCAGTGATAGGGGAGGACAATAAAATAAAGTGTCTTGAGAGCAATAACGTTTACAATAATATAATTCTGAGCTACTGAAGTATATGCAAACTAACCAGTGAGCAACATTATAAAAAATAAAGTGATATTAAATTATCTGTTCAGCCTTTTTGTCACCTGCAACAAATTAGGCTTTCAATATGCAAAACATCTTCGTTCCAGAAAAACAAATGATCATTATTTCATTTAATTGTAATTTAATGAGGCATAATGTATTTTTTAAAGTGATATACACCAGGTGTGTGGTGAGGAAACTGGCCCAGCCAGACAAACACTACTGTTTCTATTTTTGAGAAAACCCTAAAGCCAGCCAGAGACTGTTTTCATTTCTGCAAATTATGTTTCTGCTGGAGGGAGTGAGGGAGGGAAACCCACAGCATATACATACATTTCTTATAAAATTCCATTGGCTAAATTAGCTCATTCTGACTTACTTGCATCTCACGTATTAAAAAATAAAAATAAAAAATTGGCAGTTTGCAGAGTAACCAATTCTGCAAWCCTAAAAGATCATCTTCAGGGACTAGAAACTCTCAGTTTGACTTTAAATAGCTAAACAGATCTTCAACATAGAACACAGCTCCCAGGATACATTTCAGGACACGYAGCTTGATAATATCTTTGCTTTTCCACTCCTCTGCATCATTTTTAAAGCGGCTGCTGAAGAGGCAACTGATGAAGTTTAATGTTCACACAGGCTGTGCTTGCAAACGAGGTGTGTGATCACCCTGAGACAAGGGGTCTGCACAGCCTGCTTCACCCTTGGAACTTGCACTATTTTTAAAATTACACACTGGATCCATAACTGACTTTAAGAAAATAATACCTGCGGTGGAGGAAAAAGCACATGTCCAATCAAAACAAAAAAGTCATTGAATCTATTTAAAGTTGGAGTAATTTTGACAGTGGTTTTTTTCAAACTAGCTGAAAGAAAGTCCCTTCGGGCCAGCAAAGTCACTGTCACAGAGGTATGCTTTGCATTTATTCTATGAAACCCCATTTGTGAACTTCTTTTACTTTTATTAACTACAGCATTTCCAGGACAAACAACCCAAACTTCACTGGCAAGTAATCTTTTTTTTAAAGCAGCTTCTGAGAGATGATGCAGTACAAGGTACAATGTTATTCCAATTGGGACTCTGACATCCAGTGGACAACTGAGCAGCCTTGGAGGCAAACAGAGGCCTGACCACAGCCCACAGGAGGTGAGCAAAGCCTCTGTGTCCTCTTCCCAAAGGGCTCAAAGAGATCTCAGTGGGACAGCAGATTGCTCCAGCAGTGACCAAAGGCAGGACAATTTTGTAAGCACACCTTCTGAAAAGCAGTGGGGATGGGGACAAGGCAGAGCTGCTGGAGCACAGCCCAGACATTCGTGTCCCAGGGACAGAGGAGAACAAGGGCCATCTCCTTGAGGAGACTCTCAAGCATTGGACAGAGCCTCAAACACATCAGGTTTGATGACTTGGATGGAAGCCATGCTCTGCCTCTTCAGACCTAAGCCATTTGTCTACAAAAGCAGGCACTAATGTTAAAGAGGTTCAGAACAGGCTTTGGACAACCAAAACAGTGGCCAAGGCAAAAATTTAAATAAACCCAACTAATGTGCTAAACCTCAGTTTATATGTTCTGTATGAGGAAATTATATATATGAAGGACTGAAAAAGCATAAACACTTTTTCAGATTTTCAGTCTATTTGTGCCTCTCCATACTTCAGCTATGGCCAAAAGCAACAGAGAAAATGCTGAAATACTAGAAAAATATKGCTTCTGCAGTGCTTAAAGTTCCAAGTATTTTTAATCCCTGCACTTGTACTGACAAGTCTCAATAGAAAAGCTGTTCTGCTTTGCATCAGGGATACATGTGACCCTGAGCAGGAGGAGAAAATGCAGAGATTTATTCAGTTTCAACATCTGGATCTTAAAGGTCAGTGATGTCACCCTGTCCCCTCTCAGCATTTACTCCAGGTCCCACCTTCCAATATTATCCTCTGGGCTCAACGAGATACATTCAACAATTCTGAAATACTTCTCTTTACYTCTAAGTACACAGTACTTGCCAAGAACCTCTATATGAAGCACTTGTAGGCTTCTTGGGACTCAAGCTCATTTTCAAATTCTCACTGCTTTGTTTCCATTTTCTTTCATCTCTTCCTAATTCCAGCTAGGATATGAAGCAGAAGTGCTGGAAGTCTATCAGAAATGCTTATCCTGGCAATGTGTCCAGTCCAATTTTGTGAGCAAAATTGCTTTAGATAATCAGTGGAAATTTTTGAGTGGTTAGCCAAACCAAGCACCTTCATATCCATTCTGTCACAGTTTCCATCAGGCAAAAGTATTTTTGTACCCTGTTCCCTGACCAGCTCTTCTCTCTCAGTGGTCTAAGTGTGTGGTGCTACATTTGTACCAGTTTTACAAACTTTAGAACTTGAAGGACTCTGAGTCTGACTCTCCATGAATGAGACACCAACAGTCTCCCAGTACCCTTCAGTGTACACATCAAATCAATCCTTCATTTAGAAGAAATCTTCTCATCTCCAGATTCAGTGCCTACAGCCYGAGTGTGAGCCTTGTTCTTAAACTCATTTAACTAATGCTAAAATACATACATCTCAGGAGAGAGCTGCTTAGGCACAAAGCATTTAGAAGCTGATTTGAATAAAACTTATACAGGGTGCAACAATGACAATTTGATTTTTATT